ATTTTATTCTAATATTATAAAATAGTGTAATACAATTCCTGTTATAATCTATACTATATATAAAAACAAAATCCTGAACTTTAACTTCCCGCCCAATTCCGAAAAAACCTCTCTTCCTAATAAAATATATTGATTTCTACGTTTCCATTCGTACAATAATTCTGGGTTAAAATCCTCCTCCCCGGCCTCCTAGCAGGCTAAACCGGCGATTAATTTTATTTTTTTTTAAAGTTGTAAAGTGTAATTCTAAATTATTTAGAATAATTTATATTTAAATATCTAAAATCTAAATAAATTTAAAATTTTAATATAATGTATTAATACGGGGCACCTATTTTTTGCGCATCGCGCATAAAAAAAATACTAGTATAGTAATAATAGTCAAAGCAATATATGTTAGGGGGAATTTCTATGGATTGAAAGGTATATCCGGAAAAAGGGCATTTACTTGGGTATTAGAGCATCTTTTTATCTGTAAACATATTATGGAAGATCCAAGACTACCTTTGCATATTATTGTGTGGACCATGGTCCACATAGTGTTGTATGAATCATAAAAGAAAGTACATTTTTAATGTACTAAAAGTACATTATTTGTGTACCGAATGTATATTATGTAAAATAATGTACATTTCATATTCAAAAAGTGTATATATATATATATATATATATATATATATATATATATATATATATATATATATATTTTTTTTTGAAAATAAAATATTACATTTTTAATATATCAAAAGTATATTATTTGTGTATTAAATGTACATTATTTTATATACAAAATATGGTTTACACAACTTGTGTGGACCATGGTCCACACAATAATGATTGAAAAAAGGGAAAATCGCACTTTTGGTCCCTCAGATAGTACCCCATTTGCAATGTTGTCCTTGCTTTCCAATTTGGACACTTTTGGTCCCTCAATTAGTCCGACGTTTGCCAATTTAGTCCTTCTGCTAGTTAGCCATCCTAACGCCGTTTACAGCATGGGTATTATAGGAATTTCACTTATTATTGAATATAAGCCTAGCTTCTTCCCGTTGCTCCGCCCGGTCTACCATTTCCGCCACCACACAACTGAGTGCAACCCTAATCGTCTACACCTCTAACCCATCCGAATAGAAGAGAAGACGACATTGATGCAATGACTAGTAGGCGGATTAGTGGGTTTAATAGTACTCCTACTTGTAAGTATTCTGCCCTAATTTTCTACTAAAGCTTAGTGTTTTTTTTTTTTTTTTTTGGTATTTTGTTCGAATATGAAATGTATATTTTTTTTTTGTCTTACTTGTGTTGGTAGAAGTGATGGTACCATGTGCTATTTGTTTGTTTATGATGTTAATGGTTGGTGGGGACCCCTTATATAAAGAAAAAGGGAACACAGATTGTGTAGTTGAATATAAAAAGGGGAAAGCATAGGTAGTTGACTAGAAAAAGGTGAAAGCATATGTTCTTTTGCCTGAAAGCATATGGGGACCATGTGTTCCTTTGCCTGAAAATCAATTTTTATACCCACTGTATATTTCCCAATGTGTATTTAAAAGAATTTCATAATTCTGTGTTGTTATTGTTTTGTGGGGACCTATGAAATTTACCTTATTTACTGTAATTAATTGTTTTGAACTTGTTATTGCTCTCTGAAATTTACCAAAGCTGTAAATAGAACTTGTTTTACTGCATTGTATAGATGATGGTCAAGAAGACTCTGTATGTACCCTAAAACTCCATATTGGTGGGGATTTAGTATGGCATCCAACAGTTGGTTATAAGGATGGTGGATTGGAGTATTTTGACCATTTCAACTGTAATGAGGGAAGTTTGCTAGATTTAAGGAGAATGGTAAAACAACTCAGATATTGTGATAGAAAGGTGCAGTTTTGGGCTCAGGTTAAGGCCAAGGGTAGAAAGAATTCAAGAAAATCTGAACTTAGGCCTATAATCACTGATGCAGACATTATCAGTTTAGTTGAAGAGGTTCCACCAAACAAGGAGTTAGATATTTTTGTTGAACATTTATTTGATGATCAATGGGATTATGATGTAGATATTTCTAGGGAATTGGGAGATGATTTCCTATTGTATGATGAAATAAATCAGAGTAGTGACAATGAAGTTGAAGTTGAGGTTGGAGGTGAAAATGAAGGTGAGGAAGACAATGTTATGGACAATCTTATGGACACTGGAACTAGTTCTAGGCATGCAAATCCTGATGGTGGGGTGGAAGGTGATGAAGTGAATGAAGTTGATTGTGAATTATCTGAAGAGATTTTCAGGAGTTTGGAAAATTCTGATGATTCTGATGGGGGAGTTCTAGACAATGTTTTCCAAGAAAGAAACTTGAAAAAAGAAGGGTTTAAGTTTGTTCTTGGGATGATTTTCAGATCAGCAGATGAGTTTAAATGGGCTGTTAAGTGTCATGAGGCAATGAAGAGAAAAGATATCCGGTTTAAAAAGAATGAAGGTAGAAGGGTCAGGGTAATTTGCAGGCACAATAACATTTGCAATTGGACTATTTTTGCTTCAAGAAGTAATCCAAGAAGTCCATTTGAAATTAAGACATACAATTCAGAGCACACATGTGGGGATCAAGATGAGAATAGGACAGTTAACTCTGGTTTTCTAGCCAAAATGTACAAAGATGATTTTAAACTGAACACAGAATGGGAAAGAATACAGTTTCAAGAACATGTGAAGGCAAAGTTGAAGTGTCAGGTTACCAAACACTAGGCTTATAGGGCTAAACACAAAGCTCTAAAGCAACTACAAGGTGATGATTCAGAACAATTCGATTTACTGAATGATTACTGTGAGGAATTAAAAAGAAGCAATCCTGGTTCTTCTGTGAAGATGAAGGTTGATAGTGAGTTCAGTGTTAATGGAAGACCTAGGTTCTTGAGATTATATGTTTGCTTTGCAGCCTGCAAAGGGTTTTTGAGAGGGTGTAGACCCTTTTTGGGTTAGATGGTTGTCATCTAAAGGGATGCCAAAAGGGAGGGCAACTACTGAGTGCTGTGGGTGTTGATGGTGATAACAGCTTATTCCCTATAGCCTTTGCTATAGTAGAGGGAGAAAACAAAGACAGTTGGTATTGGTTTTTGGAGCTATTGGACAATGATCTCAATATATCAAGTAATTCTAGTGCTTGGACACTGATTTCTGACAAACAAAAGGGACTCATACCTGCTGTTGAGGAGTTGTTTCCTGCAATGGAGCATAGTTTCTGTGTTAGACATATGCATGCTAACTTTCAAAAGGATGGTTTCACTGGACATGTATTGAAGTTGAAATTCTGGGCAGTTTGTAAAGCAACAACAGAACCAGAATACAAGAGGCAAATGGATGAGTTAAAAGAGTTGAATGATAAGGCTGCTGAGTGGTTAGCTGCAAGAGATGCTAAGCATTACTGTAGGGCATACTTTAGTACATTTCCAAAGTCTGATATGCTGTTGAATAATTTGTGTGAAGCATGGAATAGCACTATCCTTAATTTCAGAGACAAACCTATTCTAACTATGTATGAGAAGTTAAGGATTTATCTTATGACTAGGATGCAAAAAAATAGGGAAAGAATGAAGTCTCATCCAATGAAGATTTGTCCTAAGATATGCAAGTTGATGGAAGAGGAAAAGGACAAGGCATTTAGGTACAACACTTATAAGTCCAGTGAAAACATTTACCAAGTAGATGATGACAACTTTAAGGCCTTCAAGGCGGATTTAACACAGAGACAATGCAGTTGCAGAAGATGGGATCTGACAGGCATCCCTTGTAGTCATGACATTGCAGCTATTAGAAAACAAAGAGAAAGCCCAGAAGACTATGTACACCAATGTTATACAGTGGAGTCATATTTAAGAGCATATGAGCCTTCAATACTGCCTATTTTATCTTCATAGTTGTGGCCCAAAACAAATCCTCCAGCTCCACTACCCCCAAAATATAAGGCACAACCTGTGAGGCCTAAAAAAAAAAAAGAAAGATCAACCCAGTTGAAGAAACCAAGAAGACCAGCATAGAAAAGACAAAGAAAATAGGGGAAGTGAAAAGGTGCAGGGTTTGTGGAGTCAAAGGCCATAATAAAGCAACTTGCAAGGCCAAAGATCCACAGGTACTTAATTGCTCAATTTAATCCTTATGTGTGACTAGAACTGGCTAATGTGTAATACTATTGCTTTGTAGGTATCTGAGATGGCAGAGGTAGTTGCTGGGCAGAGTGATGTACAAATTGATGGCCAGTTTGAGGATATACTAGTTGAGACACAAGTCCCATCTTTTGTACTTGATGAGATGGTAATTAAATGGTCATTTACTTTGAACAGTTTGGAAGGTAAGTAAATGATCTAACAATTGGTTGTTATGGAATTTCAGGAGCAAATGACATCCCAGCCATCACAGCTAGTGCAGAACCAAGGCCCTCCACTCTCAAACTTTATTGCTTCACAACTGCCAACTGGAAGTGCTACTGGAAATGTCATCACAAGATCAGGGAAGACCTATGTAACTGTTTCAACCCTACAACAACAGAATGCAGCCCAGAGAGAGACCAGAAAAAAGAGAACAACTCAAAAGAAGAAGCAAAACTGACTTTGGTCTAGTTTGGTAGTTTGGTCTATTTTGGTACACTAAGATGTTTTGGTAAAATTTTGTACTAGGTTGAATCTGATCTTTTGCTAAACCTTTGTACACTTTGGTCTAGTTTGGTAAACTTTTGTACTAGGCTCAAGTCTTTTGATAAACTTTTGTACACTTTGGTTTGGTAAACTTTCAATAGTCATGAATTAATGTGCACCTTTGGTTTGGTAAACTTTCAACAGTAATGAATTAATGTGTAGTTTGTATGAATACTGGTTTGAGTATGGTATGGAATTAATGTTTAGTTTGTATGAATACCGGTTTGAGTTTGGTATGGAATTAATATTTACACTTTGCCAACAGGAATTAATACTGGTTTGAGTTTGGTGTGGAATTAAACTTTCAATAGGAATTAATATTTACACTTTGCCATTTAACCAATTTGCTTTGCCAGTAAGCAGTTTGCCATTTAGCAAATTTGCTTTGCCAGTAAGCAGTTTGCCATTTAGCCAATTTGCTTTGCCATTTACCCATCTTGATGTTAAGTCAAATCAAACCATAGCAATAATCAAATAAAACCATAACACTTAACCATTTTGCTGAGATTACATAGCCTTTCAAATAAAACAATATCCAAATACAACAAAACAATAGCCAATTCAACCACAAACCAGTGCTTACATAGTCAAATACAAACTGCCCAGTAATTTCTACACCCTAATTGAGCTGTAAAAGCTTTGCAATTGGTTCTGTGTTCACCCACAATCTCAAACAAACAAGTGCAACTACAAATCCTAATGTAAAACCATAAAAAAAGAGTAAACTTTAGACTCCAACTTCATCTTCTTAATCACACCATTTTGTTTTTCAATCATTGTTTGTAGCTTTTGGATTTCACTGTCCTTGTTATCCAACCTCTTCAATAGCCCTCTAATAACTCTGGATACACGCTCGGAGACATCGGAGTCAATCCATTCAAAAAACCTACAACTGCGATTACCCTGATAGGAAACGAAGTGTAACAAACCAAAGCAAATGAAAGTTTAATTTTTGTAACAAATGAACAACAACACTGCGGTTTACTTACTCCATAATGTGGACAAGCTCTATATCTCTTCCCTGGATTCACATTACTCCACGACATTTTAACCGGAGCCACTTCGCCGCACCAACATCGCACTTCTGGCATCCATTGTGTTGACCCGATACTGTTTGAAGACATTACGATTACGGATGAAGAAAATAGTGGATGAAATGGCTTGCACCAGCTACTCTTCCACTGGCCGGGTTAGGGTTGCAGGTCGTGGCAAACACAATGGGAAGAAGCTAGGCTAATATAATCAATAATAAGTGAAATTCCTATAATACCCATGCTGTAAACGGAGTTTAGGTTGGCTAACTAACAGAAGGACTAAATTGGCAAACGTCGGACTAATTGAGGGACCAAAAGTGTCCAAATTGGAAAGCAAGGACAACATTGCAAATGAGGTACTAACTGATGGGCCAAAAGTGCGATTTTCCCTTAAAAAAAATATATAAGCTAGTGTTTTGCCAGTTTCTTACACGAAAGAAATTATATTATCATGAATTTAAATAAAAATTAAAAAATAAAAATATAAAATATAAAATATAAAATATAACATACAATATAGTTGGACTGCTTACATAAGATTGATCCACAACATTCAAACTTTTCAATTTCGGTCCACAACTATTGTTTTTGTTGCAAAAATGGTCCTTCCGGATGATTTTCTGTCAATTTCTCACCGGAGAAAAAATTCTACATTTCACGCAGGGATAAAATAGATATTTTCATTGAATTTGCAATCTCGGACTACTATTGACCTCTTATTCTCGCCAAAGTGCGAAAAAATTAATCAAAAAAAAAAAAAAAACTCAATTGCCAAAGACGAACCCTAATATGCTCTCATCTCATCAATCCATCTGTGAACAAGAGGAAATATAGACACAAATATTTTTACAAATTAAACATTTTGAACATTGAAAACTTACCAAATTGTAGCGAATCACTCCTCAACCAACGTGCAGGGACGCATTCAGCATGGGGGCAGCTGCCCCCACTAACCCCACCCCCACCCCATATATAGCCCTTGTATGTGTGTGTGTGTGTGTGTGTGTATATATATATATATATATATATATATATATATATATATATATATATATATATATATTACATGTTTTCCATATAGATATTCGAAAACTGATGAAAGTAAATGAAAGATAATAAGTTAGATGAGTTGGCAAAGGCGTGCCTAGACCTAGTAAAGATCTATGGTTCAAAACTATTATCTTCCCAATAGAAGGGTTTTTCGCTGCTGCTTTAATCCCTTTCCTTTTAATTAACTATCTCATTATGATTTTTTTTAACCGCTTCTTTATTGCTTTTATATATATATATATATATATATATATATATATATATATATATACACACTAGTTTTTTACGCGCATTGCACGATTGAGATAATGCCCAATGTTTTTCTTAAATAAGTATTTTAAAGTATATCAAGGCAAGATTATATTAGAATTGTTTATGCATAGATAATTGAATGTTAAATTTGCGTATTTAAATTGGTGATTCTAAGTTTACAAATGCAAGATAAAATAGTCAAGATTGATTATAATTGTTAATAAAATAATTGTATTGGTATGGTTGAAACCAAATACGGGACATAAGGGAGAGCAAATACAAATTAAAGCATAAAACATTAAATATATGCTAATATTGTTTGATGAGAGATTTCGGCAGTGAGATTTGTGGTTAGAGTTCTATTAAGACTTTAATATTAGAATTAGAATAATGTTGTACTTATAATTCTATATTAGACTTTAATATTAGAATTAGACTAATGGTGAATTAAGGTACTTAATGGAAAAGTTAACGGATCGGATAATTATATAATTAAGGATTATAAATAAATATTTAAAAGTATATAAATGTAAGATTATATATGAGAAGTTCAACATAAGTAATTTAATGTCTAATTTGTTTATTTAAATATGTAATTCATGGTATATGAATACAATGTAATATAGGAGATTCATTATAATTGTTACTACTTTTTTTTTTTTTAAATAGTAACCAAGTATTTTTGTTGCAAAGGTTCTAATATATTCAATGAATGCACATATGTAAATTATTATGGATAAAGAAATTCCTAATTTAAGAATTTTTTTTCTTATTATAAGGAAAGGGATACCCCTTTACACACTACTTACCTCAAGTAAGGTTCAAACCTATCACCTCCCACATAGAGGAACAACCAAGTACCAGTGGACCACAAGGTCCTTTGTTTAATTTAAGGAATTTAGATGTAGCAAGAATTTAAAATTTTTAATTATAATGTAACTCAAAGATATTGGACGATTAGTAAATATGATGTAACCCAAAGATCAAAATGCTAAAGAAAGTGTTTTAGTTATTCAACAGTTTGAAACAACAATTTGTTCCAAACCACTGAAAATACAAACGTTGCAATTTACAATATTTTCACTTAATATTTTTGATAATGATTTCTCCAAAACACATCTATATTTTTTTTAAAAATTATTATTAAAACAATTATTATTATTATTATTATTATTATTATTATTATTATTATTATTATTATTATTATTATTATTATTATTATTATTATTATTATTATTATTATTATTATTATTATTATTAGATGATGATGATGATGGTGATGGTGATGGTGATGGTGATGGTGATGGTGATGATGATGATGATGATTACATCATTGTCATAAACTTTAACATATATATAATAAAATTTAACATAAACTTTGGTCAAATAATTAGTCCGACTAAATACATAACATTCAAAGTTAAGCATCAAAGATTATAGATCAAGAACTTTAAAAATCATTTGATTTTTATGCACTTAAAAAAAAAAAGGTTAAGTTTTATTTTTATTTTTTCGTTTAATTAATCTTCTTTTGATTATTTAGATCAGAACAAAGCTTAATATTTCAATTATACTTTTGCATTATTGGTATGATTTAAGTCGTTATGGTATTAATATTTTTTGTATGTATTTTAAAATAGTACAATTGTACATTACTTTACAAATATTATACTATTATTTTTTTATCGGACAAAATTATTCTTACATCATTGTCAGACCTGCTTGACCTAACTACAAAGTTGTTGATCATAAATACAATTACACCTGGAATCTAAAACGGTAAGACCATTTTCTAAAGAATTGACAATGTTGACATCCCATTGGCTCTAATTGAACAAGTTTACACATCAGAAGTTTATTAATTCATGAAAACTTCTAAAGAAATTTGTAAATTACTTTTTCCTATATCATTATAACAATATCTATTGTAACTATATATTTTGAATTATTTATTATCATCCTCTATTTACAAGAATTGTAACAATTGTCATTGACAAACTCTCAAAACAATTTGTCTCAACAACGAATTTAAATTAAAAAAAAATAAATCAATGATTTCATTATTGTTGATGAAAAGTATGTACGCCACTTTATTACTCTTATTAAATTAAATAAATTAGTAGCTACAACAAAAAATAATACATATGCATTCAATTAATTTAGAATTAGATGTCTATAATGCCTTTAAAAAATTATTCATTATAAAAAATTTAAAAAGAGATATAATTTCATTAGTTAAATTATCTTTATTTTCTACAATTCAAAGATTCATTACCTTCAAATTTATTAATTTATTATATTTACTACATTGTCCATTGTCTTCTTTTTACATTATCTTGTAATTAAATATCAAAGTTATAATACAAAATATGTTATATATATTTATTTACCAAGTATTTTATACAAATATAATAAATATTAATATTCTGTTCAATACTTTCACATGATAACCTACGACACACATCTCACAATGCATGAAACATGTAGGGGAAAAATTACCACTACCAAATATCAATATGTGCTTGTAAGATAAAGAGTTAATAGCACAACAAAGATCTCATCATATACACAAAAATGCAAATCTAAAGCTTCCTACATCATAATCTCATTGCACAATGAATCTATCTATGCTACCACCAGTAACCCAATTGCACATGATACACTACCAATAAAAAAAAGTAAAAAATAAAATAAAATAAAAAGGACGTGTATTGATGATGAAGACAATGAAAATGCTACCCAAAAGAAAATGGAGAAGAATTAGAGATTAAACAAAAAATAGTATTTATTTAGACTATCATTTTTAGATTAGCGTTATTACAAAGTTGCAAATATTTATTTTAGTGAAAAATATAATCAATCTCGCATATATTATATTGCATTTATATACTTTAAATTACCGATTTAAATAAACAAATTCAATATTTATTTACCTATGTATGAACATCTCCCATATAATATTGCATTGATATACTTTGAAATACTTATTTAAAAATAGTCATTGGACATTATTCCATTCGCGCAAAGCGAGTAAAAGAACTAGTATATACTAATAATAGTTAAACACAAATTATGCCCTGGACCCGTGTCCACAATGCATTGTGGACACGAGTCCAAAACGACGTCGTTTTCAGGGAAAACACGCCATTCCAGTTAAAAAAAAAATTTTGATTTTGTCTCGCCGTTAACGGCGTTAACTGCATTATTCGTTTGTGCCATTATGAATGTACAGTTATGGGATTATGAATATACAGTTATGAGATTATGAATGTACAGTTTATGGAATTATGAATGTAAGTTATAAAATTATGAACACAGAGCTCTAACATTATGAACTTACAATTATGAACATATAGTGATAAAATTATGAACATAGAGCTCTAAAATTGTGAACATGGAGCTTCGAAAATTATGAATGTACAGTTATTGAATTATGAATGTACAGTTACGGAATTATGAATGTACAGTTATGCAATTATGAATGTACAGTTATGGAATTATGAACACAGAGCTCTGACATTATGAACTTACTATATGAACATATAGTGATAAAATTATGAGCATAGAGCTCTAAAATTGTGAACATAGAGTTCCGAAAATTATGAATTTAAAGTTATTGAATTATGAATGTACAGTTACGGAATTATGAATGTACACTTATGCAATTACGAATGTACAGTTATGCAATTATGAACACAGAGCTCTGACATTATGAACTTACAATTATGAACATATAGTGATAAAATTATGAACATATACTCCTATAACAAAGTGACTTGAAATTAAAAAAAAAAAAAAGTGAAAAAGAACGGTGCCACTAACGACACCGTTACCGTGTCCAGCATGCATGCTGGTCACGGGTCCATAACGATTGATAGTCAAAGCAATATATGTTAGGGGGCATTTCTATGGATTCAAAAGTATATCCGGGAAAAGGGCATTTACTTGGGTATTAGAGCATCTTTTTATCTCTAAACATATTATGGAGGATCCAAGACTACCTTTGCGGCTTTGCATATTATTGTGTGGACCATGGTCCACATAGTGTTGTATGAATTATAAAAGAAAGTACATTTTTAATGTATTAAAAATACATTATTTGGGTACCGAATGTATATTATATAAAATAATGTACATTTAATATTCAAATAATGTACTTTTTTTGAAAATAAAATACATTTTTAATATATCAAAAGTATATTATTTGTGAATTAAATGTACATTATTTTTTATAATATACAAAATGTGGTCTACACAGCTTGTGTGGACCATGGTCCATACAATAATGATTGAAAAATAAAAATATAAGCTAGTGTTTTGCCGGTTTCCTACATGAAAGAAATTATATTATCATGAATTTAAATAAAAATTTAAAAATAAAAAGATAAAATACAAAATATAACATACAATATAGTTGGACTGCTTACATAAGATTGATCCACAATATTCAAACTTTGAAATTTCGGTCCACAACTATTGTTTTTTTTGCAAAAATGGTCATTTCGGATGATTTTCTGTCAATTTCTCACCGGATAAAAAATTCTACATTTCAAGCAGGGATAAAATAAATATTTTCACTGACCTTGCAATCTCGGACTACTATTAACCTCTTATTCTCGTCAAAGTGCGAACAAATTAATCAAAAAAAAAAAAAAAAAAAAAACCTCAATTGCCAGAGACGAACCCTAATCTGCTCTCATCTCATCAATCCATCTGCGAACAAGAGGAAATACAGACACAAATATTTTACAAATTAAAAATTTTGAACATTGAAAACTTACCAGATTGCAGCGAATCACTCCTCAACCAACGTGCAGGGGTGCATTCAACATGGGGGCAGCTGCCCCACTCACTCCACCCCTACCCCATATATAGCCCTTGTATGTATATATGTATATATAGTACATATTTTTCATATAGATATTCGAAAATTGGTGAAAGTAAATGAAAGATAAGTTAGATGAGTTGGCAAAGGCGTGCCTGGACCTGTTAAAGGTCCATGGTTACTGAACACTTCAAAAACGTGCAAGTTACCTGCTTACGTGGCATTTTTAATAATAATTTTTTTAAAATAAATAAAAAAGACGGCCACCCCGTCGTTTATATTTTATTTAATTTTTTTCAATTTTTTAAAAATTTATTATTAAAATTAATTATTAAAATTTATTTAAAAATTATTAAAAATGCCAACTCAGCTGCCACGTAAATAAGTAACCTGCTAAAATTGATGGTAACCTGGTATCCGGTGAAATTGCATACATTTGGAGAGTTCAGTGGCCTAATTGCACTTTTTAGAGTGTCCAGTGGTCTAATTACATATTTTTTTTAGTTCAGTGACCTAATTGAATTTTCAGGTTACGTTCAGTGGCCAATTTAAACCTTATTCCAATCTTTACCTTTGCTCCCATTGAATCCCTCCCTGGCTCCCTTTGCTTTACTGTACCTTTGCTCCCTTTGAATTCCTCCCTTTGCTTTACTTTACCTTTGAATCCCTCCCTTTGCTTTACTTTACCTTTGCTCCCTTTGAATCCCTCCCTTTGCTTGCTCCTTTGCTTATGATTTTTTTTAACCGCTTCTTTGTTGCTTGCTTTCCATTTGAATCCCTCCCTTTGCTTGCTCCCAACGTAAGGGTTTGCTCCTTTGCTTATGATTTTTTTAACCGCTTCTTTATTGCTTTTATATATATATATATATATATATATATATATATATATATATATATATATATATATATATAAACAATCAATATAAGTGTTTGATTAATTAGCTTTTTGTAACAACTTATTGCTCTAAAATTCTAAAATTCAAAAAGCTGCTCAAAGTCATTTTTTCAATAAACTTGTTGAGAAAATCATTTTGTATGTAATCAGCTAACAACTAACAACTAATTTACCAAATATATGGTTGTGTTCAAATGAGGACAACAATATATAGAGCACTGTGCAGATAAATAATAGTCACACAACAAATTAATAATTAACAGGCATACAATTTAATACATAATGGCACACAAGAATACATGTAAACATCAGGTTTCGAACCAAGGCTCTATTAATTAACAAATCTATGCACGCGAGACATACAAACTGTGGCACACGACTACATTCGGCCATGCACACGACATACAGGCTAATGGCACACACTACATCTGTCTTCACAGTCCTCTCTAATATACTTGTCCCTCATTTGAACTCAACTATATATATATCCTAATTTTTCATTGAGATTTCCTAATTTATCCTTAATTGTATGATTATCCGTTAACTTTTCCGTTAAATATTATCTTCCCCGTTAATTTCTGTTAGTTCACCGTTAACTTACTCATTAATTTCAATAAGAAAGGTCTTAGGTTCAAATACATCCGAATCAAAGTTGGCATAATTAGTACTCTTATTAAATTAAATAATAATTGTTTTCAAAAAAAAAAAATTAGTAGCTACAACAAAAATTAATAAATATGCATTTCTTTAATTTAGAATTATGTGTTTACAATGTCTTTATTCAAAAAAAAAAATTATTCATTTATCAATAAATTAAATAAGAGATATAATTTCATTTGTTATATTGTCTTTATTTTTCTCCAATATAAAAATTCTTTCTATTCAAATTCATCAATTGATTATATTCGCTACATTGTCCCTACAATGTCTTTATTCAAAAAAAATATTCATTATCAATAAAATAATTAAGAGAAATAATTTCATTAGTTATATTGTCTTTATTTTTCTCCAATGTAAAAATTCTTTACATTCAAATTTATCAATTGATTATATTCACTACATTGTCTATTATCTTTTTCGTGCACTATTTTTTAATTAAATATCAAAGTTATAATACAAAATAATGCTATATATTTATTTAGCAAGTATTTTATTAATACCATGAAAAACTTAAAAAATATATATAATTAAGCCAATCATATTAATTAACTACGAGAGGAATTTGTTGACAAAGAGAGTATTCAAATCACACAACAAATTGAAGTGAAAACTACCTCGCAATGTCCTTGTTTGACAATCAGCAGTTAGCGGTTAGCGTTAACGAATTATATTAGCGAATTTGACCAGCGAATTATATCAACGGTTGGTAAAAAGATATTTGAAAAAATTAACTGTTTAGATTAACATGTAAATGGCCTAAGGGTATACATAATAATAATAATAATAATAATAATAATAATAATAATAATAATAATAATAATAATAATAATTGTTTTTTTGAAGAATAATAATAATTGTTTTAAAAAATAAAAAAAATTAATAAAAGAAATAAAAAATAAAAAAAAATAAATAAAAAATACTAAAGTGAAACTAGTGAGTGTGAAAATGAAATTGAAAAACTGAACAATATTGTCAGATAAAACTAAAATGTAAGTAGAATGATACTTTATGAACCATATTACTACATGTACCGTGGTCCACAGTAAAATTTGCCTATTATTGTGGAAAAGAGTTACTTATAACTACTAGGGCTGTTAATGAACCGAACACAAACGAACGGAGGTTGTTCGTGTTCGTTTGTTAAGGTTTTTTGAGTGTTCGTTTGTTAAGATTTTTGAAAATCATGTTCGTGTTCGTTTGTTAAGTGTTTATTAGTGTTTGTTAACGTTAGCGAACACGTTCACGAATTGAACATGTTCATTAACATTAACGAATACCTTCATGGCTTCATAAACATATTTGTTAACAAGCACGTTCATGAAATTTTTTAATTGAAATTTTTATATTTAATAAAGCTATGTTTAAGGTGCTTCTAAATAGTTTAAATATATAATATTGAAAGTCAGGCGATTAAAGGAAAAAAAGTTAATACATAATTTAGTCTTCTATTATAATGAGTTTTTTTTTTTTTTTTTTTTTTTAAATTTAGTCATAAACAATTTTTTGTGTTTAATTAAGTCCTCAATTTCGATGGTTTTATCCAATTGAATTCTCAGCTCTTAGAATCAAGGATTAGATCAATAAAAATCACTGTAGTTGATGACTAAATTGAGTAGAATCACTATAGTTAAAAATTAATTTAGGAAAAACTACTATAGGTACTATGGGATATGAGATGAAGTAGAAGGGTAGGATTGTCAAGGACATTCTTGTAATTTGTTTATAGTCTCTTTCTTTAATTAATCTCTCTTTATCACTTTAATTTCTATATATAGTCTGCATCCCTTTCCAATGCTCTCATTCTCACTCATCCCTTACTCATCCTCTCTGCAACTCTTCCAACAACCTCATCACTGCACCATCTATCTATCACACCTTTAATTTGCTTAGCTTAAACCTCTCATCTAAACTAATCTACTTCACAATGCTTCTCCGATCCATATCCTCCTCTCACTGTTTTTCTTTACAACCTCCGCAACCGAAACCAATACCTCAGCCGGCCACGCCATCCCCTTTCCCACCCACCACCATTTCAACGTTAAACAATCCGTTTCTCGGGCACCCACCGTCTCAATATTCGACACATATTACGACTTAAACGGGTTCGTTACGGTTTTGGTACCAATCGTATTATTTTTTCTTATGGGTGGCCCGTTCCTGACCATTCCAGCTACAAACATTCTTATACCAGTTGATGAAAAGGGCACGTTTGCTTTGCATTTGTTCCATCCCCAACCGGACTATCCATCATAGCAAGAAGGCATCCGGATTTCTTTTGAAAGCTCAAATGATTTTGTGAGTTTTTGGCCCCAATATTTGTTAACTTATTAAGCCCGATCCCTAAGAATAATAATTATTATGTGAATTTTGTTAGTCCAACTACGATATATATCATCGAGAGAATCAAGGCAAAATGCCTACAAGAGTTTTTTTTTTTTTTTTGTCAATATGGAGGGGGAAACCCCAGACAACACAAAGACTCAAGAGTCATAAACATGGCGCCAAGCTGGAATCTCAAGCACACATAATCTTACTTTTACTTTTGCTTTACTTTTTCTTTTTTCTTTTTCTTTTTCTTTTTAAACGTGTCTCACTTTTACTTCTTTTTTTTGTTTTGTTTTTTTTTTTTTGTTTTTTTTTTAATTTTTGTTTACCATTCAGCCAATCTATCTTTTTACCAAAACAACCAAACTTGACCGCAACACAAGTCTAATCTAGAAAGAGAGTGGGTTATTTTTTTGCCAGTTGGAATATTGGTTAGTTATTGGTTTTTTGGTTATTGGTTTTTGGTTTAGTGTTAGGGTTGATGGTTTAGTTGAGAATGTGGGTACCAAAAGATTGCCCTTGTACTTGATAGATTATTGTAACATATGGTGGATGATTAAGAGAATGAAATGAGTGATATTATATTTGTATTTCACTGTATTTTAAATTGCTTAATGATTAAGTCAATAACATGTAATGTTTTTTTTTGGGTAACGTTTTGTGATGATTTATATTTTTTTTAAGTAATAAATTTAGATTTACATCTCATCACTCATATATTTTTACTTATTAGAAAGAAGCCAAGTATGCACCTTTTACTAGTTAAAGAGTAAAGTTTTATTATAACTAAAATTTATAGCAATTTCAAGTGAAATGGTGAGTTGGTTTTAATTTGTTAGGATCTGACACAAAGACAACCCTTCTCATTGCATTGCCTAACCTAATTTCAACACTTTTCTTTCTTCATTTTTTTTTTCACAAATTCTCATTCCCATTCACATTATTCTTGATCATCGTATAAAATGTTTATTTCAAATAAGCATATCATAGAATTGAAGTCGTTAGTCATATTTTAAATTTTACATGCATTTTGATTCTCTATAGGTATCATTCTATCTTAAATTAAAGATAAAAATTCAAAATATATGTAAAATTTAAAATAAACTTAATAATTGTTGTGGCATGAGGACCAAAATAATCACTTTAGGAGATACTTAAGAATGACATTAACAACACTATGTAATTAACAGATTGATTTTACAAATTGTTACTGATGATATATAGCTGATCGAGTTAGATGATAGTTAATAGCTGATTGTATTAGCTAGTTTGACCAACTGATTGTATTAGCTGGTTATAAAAATGTGTTTGGCAAATTACCTGTTTACTATTAGCTGATTATATGTAAAATGACCTTTAAGGTGTATTGGTATATTATGTTATTTTAAGTTTAAATTTATTAGGATAGGAAGTATGAAATCTTAATTTTGATAAATGCTTCTAAAATTTGAGCCACCATTTAAATTTGGAAGTGTATTATTTTTATTTACATAAGTGTATTGCGTGTATTTTTTATTTATTTCAATATTATTGAAAATGAATTTAAATATTTAAAATAGTGTATTAATGACAATTATTTAAAATTTGTTTCTATGATATAGATATGTCAATCAAGGGGCGAACTCGGCCAGGTAAATTAGATAGTTGACTTGGTAACCACATAGTTCTAAATTTGACTCTTTGTAAGAGATGTCTATTAATTTAAAGATGCATTCTACAGTTAAGGTCAGGACACCGGTGGTCTGACCAAATAGAATTACTAAATTTCGAACTAGTTTTCAACTTTAACCACTAATTTTTTAATATTTTTAATCAACCCAATAGTTTTCCATTATATTGACATCCCTATCATTGTATTCAATCTAACATTTTCATCAGTTATTTTTAAGACAATTTTTTTTAAAAAAAGGGAAAATGGAGAAGACTTAAATTAAATAGCTAGGTATATAGAGAGACCAGAAGTAGTAAGGCACATACCTCACTTGCAAGGAATAATATATACACACACACGTGAATTGAAAGAAGATAAAGAAGAGAAAGGATTGAATTTAAATTGATGCACTGATGATGAATTACAAAGCAAAAGCAATTGCTATTTATACTAAAAGCAATTGTTTGTTTGTTTTTTTTTTTTTTGAAAGGAAAAGCAATTGCTATTTATACTAAAAGAAAAGTGAGAGAAATATGGCATGAAGTGGAGATAATCCAATGTAACACATGCTACGTGAGTACGTGGGAGGCAGCTGAGTGAAGACCCAACACATTCGGTGAAGAAGTGAAACATGAAGCATGCGACTATTATTTAATAATAATAATAATAATAATAATAATAATACTTGATAGATTATTGTAACATATGATGGATGATTAAGAGAATGAATTGAGTGGTATTATATTTGTATTTCACTGTATTTTAAATTGCTTAATGATTAAGTCAAATACATGTAATGTTTTTTTTTTTTTTTTTTTTGGGTAACGTTTTGTGATGATTTACATTTTTTTCAAGTAATAAATTTAGATTTACATATCATTACTCATTTTTTTACTTGTATTAGAAAGAAAGCCAAGAATGCACCTTTTACTAGTTAAAGAGTAAAGTTTTATTATAACTAAAATTTATAGCAATTTTAAGTGAAATGGTGAGTTGATTTTAATTTGTTAGGGTCTGACACAAAAACAACCATTCTCATTGCATTGCCTAACCTAATTTCAACACTTTTCTTTCTTCATATTTCCACAATTTTTTTTTCACAAATTCTCATTCTCATTCACATTATTATATTCTTGATCATCGTATAAAATGATTATTTCGAATAAGCATATCATAGAATTGAAGTCGTTAGTCCAATTTTAAATTTAAATTTTACATGTATATGTATCATTCTATCTTAAATTAAATATAAAAATTCAAAATATATGTAAAATTTAAAATAAATTTAATACTTGTTGTGACATGAGGACCAAAATAATCAGTTTAGGAGATACTTAAAAATGACATTAACAACACTATGTAATTAACGGATTGATTTTACAAATTATTAGTGATGATAGCTGATCGAGTTAGCTAATAATTAATAGGTGATGATTGTATTAGCTGTTATAAAAAAAGTGTGGTGTAAATTAAATTGAAAGAGAAAAGTAGCGGTGGAGTGGGGCACACTCAAAGCTTTACCGGCCTCTCTCCTCACTTCCCATTTTCCCAAAGCCCAGTGCCATGCATGCATGCAAATAAATAGGCACTATATAAGCTTATTGATCCTCTCTGCAACTCTTCCAACAACCTCATCACCATCTATCTATCTATCTATGAGACCTTTAATTTGCTTAGCTTAAACCTCTAATCTAAACTAATCTACTTCACAATGCTTGTCCATATCCTCCAATTTCAAAAATACAGCTATCTAGTTTCTCCATCTTAGCCTTCTGGTTTATCTCCCCCAAATACAGCCTCCCTTCGAATATTTGTGATTTTGTTCACTATAAATAACCCCCACATTTTCTTCTTCTTCTCCATATTCGTCTTCTTCCTTCATATTTTCATCTTCTCGATCAGAACTCTCTGTCACGTTTCTCTCTGCTTCTCAAACAACTTAACTTCTTCTTCTCACAACTTCTCACGTCTTCTTCAATACACAGAGCAATATTCTTCGTCTTCTTCTTCTCAAACAACTTCTTCTTTCTTCTTTCTCTCAGTGAGTCTTCTTCCATTCTTCTTCTCTCAACTTCTCACGTCGATCAACTTCTCACCACAATGCTTCTCCTTCTCCTCTCACTGTTTTTCTTCACAAATACTTGTGCCGGCCAAACAACTATTTCTGCCGGCCACGGCTACGCCACCCCCTTTCCCACCCACAACAATTTGAACGTAAAAAAATCCCTTTCTCAGGCTACCCAAATTCCTCCTCTGCCAAAAACCCAGGAGGAAAGCCGCAATGAGAGTAGTTGGAAGCTCAACCTCCTCCACAGAGATGAATTGCCCTTTTCCAATGTTACCGACTTCGCCAGCCGATTCCAATCCCGAATGAAAAGGGATGCACACAGAGTCGCCCACTTCATTGGCAGAACTAGCCGCGCCGAGTATGAGGTGGAGGAGTTAGGGGTGGAGGTTGTTTCTGGTATGGATATAGGGATTGCAGAATATGTAGTGAGGATTGGGGTGGGGACCCCGCCTCAATATCAGTATCTGGCAATTGACACGGGGAGTGAGATTATGTGGGTTCAGTGTCAACCCTGTAACCAATGCTACCGTCAATATGACCCGGTGTTCGACCCGACTCGCTCAGCTTCATTTGCCATCGTGCCGTGTAGCTCCACCATCTGCGACCTGATCCAGTTGGGGTGCAACAGGGGTCGGTGCATGTACGAGGTCAGGTACCTTGATCGGTCGTACACCAAGGGGACGATGGTGCTCGAGACTATTACATTTGGGGGAACTGTGGTCCGGGATGTGGCTATCGGGTGCGGCCAGACCAACTTGGGGACGTTCACCGGAGTCTCCGGGTTGTTGGGTCTCGACGGGGGATCCATGACGTTCATGGGTCAACTTTCCAGGCAAACGGGCGGAGTTTTTAGCTATTGCTTGGTGGCCTGGGGCACCCACTCCTCCGGCTCACTGGAGTTCGGGCAAGAAGCCATACCCGTGGGCGCTGTGTGGGTACCCTTGCTCCGAAGCGTACGGGCACCTACTACCTACTATATCGGGCTCTCGGGTCTGGGCGTCGGCGGCATAAAGCTCCCAATATCCGAAGACGTCTTCCGTTTAACCGAGCAGGGCTACGGGGGGTGATGATGGACACTGGAACCACCGTGACAAGACTCCCCAAGGTGGCGTACGCGGCATTGCGCGACACATATGTGATGCAAATCGCCACCCTTCCTCGGGCACTCGGCAACTCCCTATTCGATACATGCTACAACTTGTACGGGCTCGGTACGGTTCAGGTACCCATCGTTTCTTTTTTCCTTATTGGTGGCCCGGTCTGGACCCTTGCAACTAAGACCATTCTTATACCAGTTGATCAAAGGGGCACATTTTGCTTTGCATTTGCTCCATCCTCAACTGGATTATCCATCATTGGGAACATCCATCAGGAAGGGATCCAAATTTCCATTGATAGCTCTAACGGGTTTGTGGGTTTTGGCCCCAATAATTGTTAGATAGATTATTGTGACATTATATTTTGTATCTCATTGTATGTTTTCATTTATGATCCAATATTAGCATATGAGTGAAATTTCTTTCCTATGTAACTATTGTGTACTAGGTTGCAATTTTGTTACTGTTTGCTCACCGTTATTTAATATGATGATACATCAAAGTTGTCTCAACTATAACTGGCAACAGAGAATTTTAACACAGCAAAAAATTTGATCAGGAGGTTGTTTTCAATAAGTTGATCAATTTGATATTTTTCAACAGAATTTTCTTGGTCATTCATCAGTTTATTCTTTTCAACCAATTTTCACCATTATACCACCAACATGTGCACTCAAAACATTTTCTTCCATCAATTAAAACACCACTCATGTAACCAAATCCTCCAGAGTTGGGTTAAGCTCTTGGGTGGTCTATCCCAGATCAGGTTTCTCTTTCCTTATTCTGTCTACAGCCTTGCAAATGTGGAGCAGATCCTTGTGCATATTTTCTTTGCACTTTTTCTGCTCAACTACCTTTTTGTTCAATAATGTCCTCAAGAGCTGAGATTTCTTTGTTGTGGTCATGTCTCTGATCTGCTTTTCATGTAGAGATTAACAATGGATTAGTGGTGTTAACTGACATAACAATGTCGATAACAATACAAATGCTATTAAGTAAGCATAGCATTGACAAACTTTTAATTGAGAGTCTTTCATGTTGGGTTAAGTTGGTTATGTGAGGAAGAAAGAGAGCTTGATTATATATATAGTAAGAAGGTTAGCTATGTAGGTCATGGTTAAATTTCCATTTTATTACATATTCCGAGAAAGACGACAAGTCTAAAAAGGTTACACACAACCGCAAAGCAAAACTACCGAAAAGGCGCAGCCAAACATGAGATGACGAAAAAGCTTTGGTCAAACGAAAACGAAAACGAAATGCGAAAGCTTTCCCCTTCGCGGTATATATTAGTATTCTAATTTCAGGATACTTGGAGAAAATTATTTAGGCAAAATCTTAGCTTGTCGTACACAGGTATCGGGTGTACACGAGTGAAGTATTTTTTGCTTCATTTTGAGATTTGATTTGCACTTAACTAAAAATTATTCCATTGAAACAAGGTGACTAACACTCAAAAACCTTTGATTTTAGACATGTAAAAACTGTAATCATTAATGGCAAGTAACACCCGACCTCATTTTGGACTTTTTCATACACAAATAATCTAAACCATTCTTACTTGACTAATGTTTATCTATTTTGACGTTTTAATTGTACTATAATCAAAGAAAACTGCATCAACAGATCCGAGTATTAGAGGAAACAAATATACCTATTTCATGGAGAACATGGAAGAAATCCAAATGCATGTCATTAATAAACATAAAGCAACATAAAGTTTTAAACAAAGTAGACCCCGTATATACCTGGCCTATAGAATCTAAAAACATTGATTAAAAAAAACATAGGCTCATTACCCTATTAAATGCTAATCAAAACATTAAAACACATTAAAATAGGGGAGGTAACTTTAATTTCAAAAAAGGATTTCAGCGGTAGCTGCCAATACGTCCACCCGGAGGAACTACCGATCAAAACGGGAGCAAGTTGAGCACCATGAGTAGAGTGATTAGGTTTAACACCTCCAATAAATCTAATTGAATTAAAAATTTAGCCTATAGACAAGTTTTATGTCACTTGAGCACTCGTGGTCCTAATTCTTAAAATAACCCGAGTTTAAAGTAATTACGAGACGTCTTAAAAGGACCACATGTGGTTATTTTTTAAAACATGAAAGACCATTGGAGGTCATTTAAACTCGGAAGACCACAACTGTTAAACCACTAATACTCGGAGGACCATTGGAAGTATTAACTCCTTCAATTCATTTAATAATTGTTTCATCATAAAACTTCAGTTGGATCTAATTGAGTAAAACTTTAGTCCAGAGACAAGTTTTTTATTTTTTTTGATAATTGAGATAAAATACTATCATAATGGTTTAATTGGATTTAATAGAATTAAATCTTTAGTACACATGCAAATTATATGTCAATAAATCTCTCAACCTATTAGATAATAATTTTACCAAAATTTCTTAGAATTTATAAATTTAGTTCAATTATAATTCTAAGTTTCATTATTTACATTGGAAAAACATGCATTTAATTACTTCCCAAAATTTAACCACATTTATTAATTGTTTCACAAAATTTACTTGGTTATTTAGACTAACTATCATAAGTCAATCATTATATCGTGAACCAGGGTCCACAGTACACTACTGTGGACCCTTGTCCAA